TTTCGTTTTCGGCCTTCTTTTATATACACTGATGCGGTTGGTATATTGACTGACCTTCCGGCTAATCAAATAGAACGAATCGGTTTTCAAATGAATACTGTGATGGGTGATGATTGTTGTTTTTTTTGGGATGTTATATTTGTAGTCGATTGCGGGTGTTATACAACCACTGAATTTGGTTTTTATGCATTTGTTTAGAACGGAGGTAGTTAAAGATAAAAGAGGCGACGGTGGGTAGTGCATTTAAGGAAATTTTACTATATATGAAGACGTTTATTGTAGAGAGTAAAAAAATATCTTTAATATGTAACTGATTTACCATATTATTGAAAGAAAAAGTCCTTTCTTTATAAAAAATATGCAAATAAAATGTTTAAAATACATAATTGTTACTTAACAGTATATCATACTTAAAATCACTTGTCTTAGAGGTAAATTATCATGCTTTAATTTAAGCTAGTTAGGTACTTTTAGGTACCTAATTTAAATGTATTTTTTTGGAACTTCACTAGAAAATTAATTAATTTTAAAAACACTCAAAATGTAGATAAAAAAAATAGTCGACTATAATCAAGGTCTCGTTATATTACCCTTGAAAATTGAGTCGTAATATACACATGAATAAAATTATCGAATATTTTGCTTATTCAAACGTGTACAAAAAAATATTCGATAATTTTGTCTTCCAGAAAGCCAAGTCAACCATTAAGCTATGCACTATTAATTACGAATCACCCAGTATTTATTTGATCATCCACAATTATCCACATGCTAAATTGTCTCTTAGGTGATTTAAATCTGCCTCACTCCATCTGGATCCTTGATAATTTTGGATCAACTGCTCAATCCTCATTAGGTACCTTACTCGAAGAATTGTTGTCAATAGAATCACTTTCCAATACTTTTGCTTTTCATCACTTATTTTAAAGCAATCGGGTACGAAATATCTTTGGCAACTTACTAGATCTCGTATTAACCCAAAACCCAAGGCCAAATGGTAGATATTTTTGCTGCAGATGAAGACATCATCGAACAAGGCAATTATCATTTTACATTGACTGTGATCATCCCTTATGTTTCAAATAGTGAAGTGCTTAGTAGTGATGGTTTCACTTTTAAATAAAATATTGGATAATATGATTACGATTCCTTGTGAAATCTTGTTTATTGCAATTGACATGTAAAAAATTTCCAGATATGATTTTCTTCTGATTTAAAGCAATGTATTATGGCTAAAAAGCTTGCACGCAAACATTACAAAACTACTCAATCCCCAGCTGACTATTAAATACTTTCAGAACTCCGGTCACAATGTAAAAGACTAAATCGTGAATGTTATGTTCAACATATTTTGTTTAATGAGAATGACTTGCTCACAAACTTTAAAAAGTTCTGGACTTTTGTAAACTTAAAAAAAAAAGCAAAAAGGTATATCAAGCTCAATGCAATTCAATGGTGTAGTTAGTAATTCAGGTAATGATATAAACATGTTTGCTGAGTATTTTGCATCAGTATATTCTGATAGCACTTGAAATTAAGCAACCTCAATTTAAATAAGGGACCTGATCCCGACTCTCTTCCTCTCATTTTTTTGAAAAATTTCATATATTTAACTAATACTAGCATTTTTCCTAGTGTATAAAAAACAAGCTATATAGGGTGTTCCTAAACATCATGTCTATAATTTAAGGAGGTAATTCCATTTTATGACTAAAAGTTATTATATACATGTATCCTAAATTGCTTTGTTTCAAAGATACAGGGTGTTAAATTTTTTAAAAATAATCAATTTTTCGATAAAAATGCAAAAAACTGAAAAAACTCAGAATACAAAAAAAGTTGGGTTTTTAATTGGATAATTTAGAAACCAAATAGAAAATATCAATAAGGTTGTCTTTGGGTAGGGAAGAAGCTTGTACCACAGCTTATACAATACAGCTAAAACACTCTCTTGGCGGCAACGGTTTGCGTCGATTTCGTCGCGCATCGCTTAAGCGCCGCCTTCGGAGGGAAAAGACGGTTTTGGCGTTCAGAAGCGTACTTAGGTAAGGTGTTGAGTCGTGCGTATAATTTCGTTGATTGTATAATTTCGTGGAGCCTATAATTTCGTTGATTTTGTTTGAGGTAAAGGTACTGTTATTATTTTGGTGACTCTTTAGCTGTGAGTAGAATGAGTAAAAAAAAGAAATCATTCTGTTTATGCAGTCAAAAGCTGTTTTAATAAGGGTTATACCTGCAAGAAAACATTCTTTAGTTTTCCCAAGGACCCAAACCAATAAGTACCACATTATAAGAAATTTTCATTGTTAAAAATATAATTTATACAGGGTGTCCTATTAGTGCGTTATTGTTCATTATTTTGTTATAGACACGCAAAAAAGTTTTAAATTAAAGTTGGATTTGAAAAATACCTACATATTTTAAAAAGTTCTTTGGATATACAGGGTGTCACGTTTTTGTCTGGCAAATTAAAATGTATGTTTTTTAAATGGAACACATTATATTTTATTTTATGATGAAATTATTAACACCCTAAATTATTGTAAAGACGAGTTGCTACAGAAAATTTTTATTAGGTATGTGTGTGGCTACCTTTTAATAAAAGCCTTGAGGATCCACTCCTGTGATACCTGTCTTATATATAACAAAGAACACGTTTAATTAGAAGATTTTTCTTTTTATTGATTTTTAAAGGCATATGATAACGCCAATTCAGAGATACATTTGGAAATCTGCAACTGTCAAATGATGAATTTGTAGAACTAATATTCAATATTGAAAAGATATTTCAAAATAATTTTGAAGAATTGGCTATAAAAAATAACATTTGTACCACACTTTTAGAATTAATTAATTAGTCATCCATGCTAAAGTTTTTCAAAAGAATCTATTTTAATGTATGTTTAATCTCAATAACTAAAAAATATACTGACAATTAGTTTGACAGAATTGCCAATTATTTAAAATTTTAAAAATAATAGCAGTCGGTTGATCAAAATAGTAACGGTGATTGACGAATTTATTTTTTTTGCAGTGTTCTTACTACCTAGAATGAATATGAAATATATTCGTTCAATTGAAGGCAATAGCATACTTTTTCGTTTTGTAATCTGTGCATGGATATTAGCCAATCTACGCACATACTACAAAACGAAAAAGTACATTAAAATTTTTGTGTAGACTCGATGAATAATAGCATTTTTGTTTTTATTGTGTCCACATTTAAAAAAAAAATTTTTTAATCAAACTACATGATACTAATTTAATTACGAGTATTAAAACTAAAGTCCTGAAAGTTTCGGTGAAGATGAGGATAGAGCATCTGCCTTCCACGCTAAAAGCCCGGGATCGAATCTAGGCCGAGGACTAATTATTTTTTCATGTTTATTTTATTTTATAAATTAGCCAACTTCGTAAATTATTTTAAAATTAGTTATTTTGTCTAAATAACCTAAAATCATTTTTTAAATTTGTAGATTTTCGTTAGTGGGTCGTAGAAAAAATATACTGACCATATCGAGTGGATTGTTCATATCACAATCAGACGATTGAGTACTCCGCCTACGACGTCGTGCTCAAACTTCGTCTTTGTGTGATATGGCAATCATATCCACCCTTGTTGAACAAACTACTATTTATTTGTTTTCTTGGTTTAAGTTTTACATCAGAAATAGGAACTAAATTAATTTCCTTTTCAAGTTTTCTTGTAAAAATCGATATTACTTTCTCCAAGTACAAATTTAGTACCTACCTAAAATAAGTAATAATTATGTAATTTCGTGTAATATTGTAATTCAAATTTCACATTACTATAAAGGTTCAAAATTCCCTACTTCGGTATGGTCAGATAAAAATTGAATATATTATATTAATAAAAACTGTCAAAGTATTACTTCTACAAATCTGTATTTCAATTAATAAGAATACATCCAAATATAACCAATATTGTTAAAATAAAAGCACAAATTCTTTATAATTCCAAAATACCATAGAGTTCCCAGACCTCAGTCGAAGCATTCGTTTATTTAGGTATAAACCCTTTGCGCGAAGAGTAACACTTGCCAGACACACGGGGTACTACTTGATTTGCATCCACGAGCGTGACAAAATTATTTAACAATTGAAGCCCTTGGTGTAAAAAGGATCCAAGCCACAAATTGTCGTGAAGTGACTGTTTTAGCTCAAAACATTTGTTAACGAGGATTTTACTAGCCACATACAAATTATTCAACCTCTAATTCGAAAGATGTGCTATTTTTCGTAATATTTATATTTAAATAATTTTTTAATTATATTTGACAAATTTAAAACAAATTAAAAATTTAATTTCCCAAAACTTACTTAATATGGGATGTAACCAACCTTATTACGCCAAGGTTTTCAATTTTTTCAATAATAAAAAAATATTTTAATCCGGTCCCGACTTTTCCCTCGAATCTAACAGAGATAGCACCATTCCGTCTTGCTTGGTTCTCGACCGCCAGATCAAAGACGCCGACACGGAGTTGTGGAGCTGTATTGTATAAGCTGTGCTTGTACATTAATCCACCTTGTACCTTAGGCCATTAATACAATTTAAAATTTAAAACGAAAATCTCAATGAAATCCTCATTGTTAGTTAATATGTTCACCACCAATGCGCGACACTTTGTTTACGCATTCTATGTTAAACCATTGACTTGAAAGTGAGTGGATTGTTTATACTCTTTTAAAAGTAAGTATTTTGTCGTGATTTTAACATTTTTTATTCAGTTATACAGTACAAAAGTTCCATTTTATCATACCTTATGCTAATGTTAGGTATTCAGGCTAATTATTTTGATAATGCTTAATTTTTATACATGTTTTTTTATAGGTTAGAAAAACAATTCTTTCGTAAACTTAATAGGCTGGTATCTTGGATCTTGGGCTTGTTTTGTACCTTGGGCCGACCCAAGGTACAATCTATGTTTTAATGTTCTTGTTCGGTTGTATAATTCTAACGATATTTCTTTCAGATGCTAAGGTGTTAAGAGAAGTTGCCCTGACCTTCCCGCACTACAAGCCGCAGAAAATGCTGTACGAAATGAGCATATTTCGGTGCGTACTGCTAAAGAATTTAAGATGTCTCGATCTACATTAAAAAGCAATTTAATTAAACTTAAGCAAAATATACCTTACAAATCTTATGCAAATTGTGCCGTTCAAAAAGTATTTTTGAAAGCTGAGGAAAAATCTTATTCCAGTATCTCGTCACAGCGTCTCTTATGCATTATGATCTTACCCGCCGAGATCTTCAGGTCCTCGCTCATGAATTTATGAATTTACAAAGGCAAAATATAAAACAATTCCTGCTTCTTGGAAAAACAAATGTCGGGCCGGAAAATAATGGTATTTGCATTTTGTGAAGCGCAGAAACACAATAAGCTTAAGGAAACCACAAGCGACAAGTTTGTCCCGGTCCACCAGCTTCAACAAGCACAATGTTTTCACATTTTTCAATAAGCTTAAGGAAGTTATAGAAAAATATTAGTTTACCGCTGATAAAATCTACAATTTAGAAAATGTTCATGTGCAAGGTAAACTTTTAATATTTTTCTTAATTTCTTATCTTTGACATCTTTAGGAAAACTGCAGCTTGTTATAAGCCTTGGTTTTGGTTTCAGATAAGAGTCTGGCGTATAAAGGGGTAAAGCAGGTTGGAAGCGCAACTTTAGGTGAAAGAGGTGTCAATGTTACTATTATTGCATGTGTGAATGCTATAGGAAACAGTGTATCACCTTTATATATTTCCGAGGGTAAATTACAAAGATTTTATAACTAAAGGTGCTCCTCCTGGTTCCATTGGATCTGCTCACCCTAGTGGCTGGTCTAACAAAACAATTTTTGTACAGTATCTTCACAACTTTATGAAACATGTAAACTGTTCCTTAAATAATAAGGTGGGACTAATCCTAGATAACCATGAAAGCCACGTGAACATCGAAACAATAAGTTTCGTAAAAGAAAACGGAATAGTTATACTTACCCTACCTCCTCACACAAGTCACAAGCTCCAGCCGCTAGAACGAAGCATATATGGATCTTACGAAACACAGCAAGCGCTGAATGGATGCGTTGCCACCCTGGAATATCCATTTCGATTTATGATGTGGTCAAAATATTAGGAATACCCAAAGACATTACAACTAAGAGACCAAATTGTTTACATTTTTATGTGGCAAATCATTATTCCCACCAGATTCTCGTTTATTGCGTCTTTGCCGATTTTATCAGTCTGTCAAAATTATTTGGAGAAATTACTTTCGAAAAATAAAATTTGATGTGTCCTGTAACTATAATTTTATACTATATAAATAAAAATGTTTTTAATCAAATTATTCTTTGAAGTTTTAATATAAGCTAATTTTTTTATTAAAACATCAATATTAATCTAAACAAAATATTAGGGTTTCGAAGAACTCCGTAAATACGGCAACGCTGAATATCTTATTTTACGAATTTACAATTTTTATGAATGAAATGTAGTACCATAACCAGCCGCAACGTTGCCAATGAGGTTTAACAGCTATTTTGTATTTCTGACAGTATCTGACAGTTTCTGTGTGACTTATTGATTTATTCATTTATAAAATACTATTTTTGTGAACTTTTGTGAGAAATATAAAGAATTATGGTACATGCATATGTAGTGTTCAAAAAGGTAGATCATTTAAGTCGAAATTTATGGTTCCATCGGTAAGTATTTTTAGGTTAAGATATGTTGTTTTCATTTGAACCAGTGGAGTAGGGCTTGTACAAGATTTATTACAATTTCTTATAGAATTTAAATTATATAGGACCACCTAGTAAATTGTTTGAAAAATGATTATCCAATCTAATTTTTCAGACAATTTACTGCAGGTTTAATAATATACAATTTAAATTGTACAAGAAATTGTATCAAAAACTTGTGTAGTCTAAAACAGTCTTAAAACAGTTTTTAAAGTAATATTCCTTTTATAAATTAGTAAATTTTTTTTATACCAATAAATAATTATTGAATAGTGGCAAAGAAAATTTAACGTAAAATGTAGAATACCTTAAAAATGATTTACCTATTGAGCACCTATACATATTTTTTATTACTCTATTTAGGTTTCCGCAAGATCCTGAGAAAAGAAAACTTTGGTTTTCTCTAATAGGAATCCTTGAAAATCAGCCCCTTCGTAAAAACCCAGAGTTGTGTTTAGAACACTGTTTTCCTGAAAATGTTTTGGTACGTGCAAATGATACTAGATATATTAGAAAAGATGCAAACTCCAGACGGTGTGAGGGCTTTCTATTTTTGGATGACTTATCCAACAGGTAAAAATACAAAATATTAATTTTTTGTTTACCTCTAAACATTATTTATTACCTATATGTATGTATATCTAATGTATGGGTTTTTAGTTCTGATTCAACTGTTTTTGGAACACCACCTGCTGCAAAAAGAAACGTTGCAGTAAGTTATAACAATAACTAAGCATAAAAAAATTAAATGAAATTTTAGTTAATAAAATTAAAGTATTTTATATATTTAAAACATTATTTTAAAAATTTTTATAGTTTTTTCACGATATATTTTGCCATACCATGTTTTTTTGTAATTATTAATTATAAAATTATATATTTTTAGGGCAGTGTTTTATTTAGATACCCCTATCTACTTAATGTTAATTTACAGTATAGTAAATGCCAATAAACTATAAACCAATAAATATTAAAAATTGAAAGGTAACTTGAATTCGCTTGTATTTGAATTTACTTGTACTTGAATTTACCTACATGAAAAATCAGCAAGTATCATGCAAAACTATTGTCATATACTCTGAAGGTAATTCTCTCACCAGAAATCCAGAGCACAACTGGTGAAAGACTGTCTAGAAGACCTGACAGAGCTAAGTAGTTAAAATAAGGTGACCTTAGCCTGGGTTCTAGGCCATAAGGGATATCAGGGAAACGAAAAGGCCGACGAATTAGCCCGAGGAGGCTCAGATAAGGCCATGACAGGCTCCGGACCCTTGTGCAAGGCATCCATTAAACAATGGATGCAAACAGAGTCTCAGGAATGGTGGAACAACTATCGGCCAAGTTCACGAAAGACCTACTGGATCAAAAGCGTCAAATCGTAGGCCTTCTTACTGGACATTGTCGCCTCAAAAGGCACATAAGTGTCATAAATCCAGCAGAAGAAGCAACTTTGTACAGATTCTGTGAAGAAGAAGATGAAACAATATTCCACGTCCTGTGCCAATGTGAATGCCTGGCTGGAACGAGGTTTCTAACATTGGGCAAAGAAAAGCCAATTGCATGCAACTACATGCGGGAGCCACTGTCAAAGCTACTAAGACTAATAAAAAAGACCAGGCTAGACGACATACTCTAAAACAAACAGGAGTCCCGCAATACATCTGAAAAGGTTGCGGTGGACAAGGACAAATAACGTCCAACTCATAATCTAATCTACCTACATGAAAAAATTATCATAATTATATTACTAAAAAAATATACCTACATATTTACGTATTTTTTTAACATACTACTCTGACAATACTGGTAAGTTTAAAACTCTACGCCACTGGCGAGCATATTATGGACACTGTTTACAACGTTGCCAGCCGGTCATAAGAGATCTGTCTTTCTCTCTTCCACTCACTAACAATTTTAAAACAATAACAATCCGCAATTGTATGGGATTTATGAATGAAACATTTTGTCTATATGTTGTAATGTCTTTGGGAACACCCTACCATTTAGCATTCACACCTTCAAACATTCAGTCTGGTTTTAGAATATCCGGTATCTGGCCGTTTGATAAAAACATCTTTCAAGAGCATGAATTAATGGGATCATCAGTAACTGATCGACCATATGACGAACCATCCACATCACAGGGAGCCCCATCTACAGGGCCGTAACTATACTTGTTGGCGCCTGTGGCAAATCACAAATTTTGCGCCTCCTCCCAACCTAACTTTAAAAGCTGATAAAATATATATTTCATTCTAATAAAAACAGACGTAAGAACAAAAATCTAAAAATGTCAAATAAGTAATCTAAAAATAAAAAAACTAAAAATATTTTCTCTGAACAAAATAAAAATATTTGGTTTTATCACATAATGACATATTAAATATACAACTTAAAATAGAACTTTTCTAGATTTAAATTCAGCAAATATTTTTATAATCTCATCATAATTTAAATTAATTGCAGTCGATTTTTCAATTGAAATTATAGACATATTTGTTAGTCGTTGTTGCCCTACAGAAGAACGTAAATATGACTTCACAAGCTTAAGTTTGCTGTACGAACGTTTGCACGTAGCGGTTGTCACTATAGTCTATTTTTATGTATGAGAGAGTATTAAAATAATAAAGCGTTCGTAATCCATAGGCGTATAACTTCTTTTAGTAGACAGTTAAAATATTTTTTGAAGTTATTCCTCGAGTATACACTTATATTTTTACCTTATTAACCTGCTTATAACTTCTAAACAGCTGAAGGTAAAAAAGTGCAATTTTTTCTAAAATGTTTCATTTTTCTACATGGTATGTTAAGAACATTGTATCAAACGGTTTATGTAGGTATAAGGGTTTAAACTTTGACTTTTAAACAACGTTAAGTTCATAAATAATACTTTTAATACAAAAACTACTTCTTACCTACAAATCCAAATCAGAATCGAAATCAGAAAATGAACTGTCGCAACCAATATCTACAATGAGTGGCTTGATCATTTTATCAGTAATATTGTCCAACTTCCACATTTTCTCTTTTTCTTTAATCGTATGATTTACTGCCTTTCCCAGTTTTCAGGCTTCACATTATTTACAGCCTCCAAAAACAACTGTTTAACATCACTCATTTTAAAAGAATTATTTTTTCTTGAAACTTCTCCCTTTATCTGTGCCCATATCAGTACAATCGGGTTTACTTCGCAATGATATGGTGGTGATCTAACCACCGTCATCCCACGGTTTTTTGCAATTTCATCAATTTCATATTTTTTTAATTTCTCTTTATGAAGGGAACACAAATGATACAGTTCTTTTCTCACAGAACCGGGATGGAACTTAATATTCTTTGAATTTAGCCAATTCTGTAAATCTTTTTTTAACCACTTGGTTGTGGGCATTCTCGAGTAATAACTTGCATTATCCATTACTATTATACAGTTCTGAGAAAGAAGATCTATAATTTGTTCGAACCACTCTTTAAAGACATTAGCATTCATGTCCTCATGGTAGTCACCGGTACGAGTAGATTCAAAAGTCAATAAACCACCTTTAACAAAACCGTTTGAACTACCGATGTGTACTATTATTAGTCTGCGCCCCTTTCCTGATGGTGGATTTAAACGAGTAGATAAATTATTTAAAAAAGCCTGTCTTCGACTTGTAACAGTTGCCAAAATTTATTTGGTTTATGTCCCTCGTTGATCCATGTTTCATCTAAATAAAATATATTTCTTCTTTGGTTTCTCATTTCTTTTATACTCCTTAGGTAATTTCTTCTCCATACTACAATATCGCTTCTTTCTATTAAAATAGACTTTCTGGAATGCTTTTTCCATAGAAAACCTATTTCTTTTAAGTTTCCATAGTGTGCTTCGACTCATTTCAGGGTAATCCTTATCATCTCGAACCGTGGCAAGAACTTTGTCTACTGTCGGAAATTCTTTTCTAAAGAAGAACGCATGCACTTTCCTTCGAAGTCTTTCTTTCAAAAGATTTTCTAATTAAAATTTTGGTTTTCCTGGAGCTTTACGTGCTGTTTGAAACTCGCCACATTTCTCTTCTTTAACAACTCTGTAAATCGTAGATATCCCAACACCAAGCATACTACTAACAAATTCTACTGTGTCATCAACACTTTTACATAAATGTTTGTAAATGATTTAAAACAATTAAATATTAATGTTTTTTCATTAACTGTTAAAGGACCGATTTTTTGTCGTTTACGCAGCCCTTTTAAATTTTCCATGATCACACTAGAATTCACACTGCACCTTGCAACTAAACGACATTTAGTAAACTGTCAAGAATACACAACTTGGACCTCCTTACTAAATGGAAAACCTATAATCGCATTTTCGGTGAAATTTGTTGGAAAAGTATTTATCTACTTATAATTCGATTACTGTAAGACATTCTTGGAATTAAAATAAAACAAAATTGGCAAATAGGTACTTATTAAAAATAATCTTAAGATACGGCTATGTAATCTTTAATACACAGGGCTTTTGGCCTGTCTAAACCTTTTTCTATTGTTCTGTACAGCTTATGTTTATAAAGGACCAGTAAAAGACCCAAAACTTGTAATAGCTCAGGTACATTTATTACAATTTTAGGAAATATTTAGATTATTCTGTAAAAATATTTTAAATGACCGTACTAAGTTTTGCATTAGAAATGCTGTTTTATTACTCTCTCATACATAAAAATAGACTTATAGGATGCTTAGGGATATTCTCAAGGCCCTCTGTATGTTTAGATAAATATTTTTTAAGGACAGATTATAAATACCTTGCAAAATTTCCAAGAGACCCATTTCAATAAAATTTGTATACAGTATTTTACTTTGGAATTTGAAGCTTTCTATTTCTGATGTGAATTCATAAGCATTTAAGTCAGCAAGATCTGTGGCTTGCTTTTTTAATTCATCCAAATTAGTTTTCTTGATAGAAACCCCGTTTAGGAATCCAAAATCATCTGCTACAAATCTTTCTTTCATTTGCATGATGATTGTATCAAGAACCTGCAACAATCCAACTCTTAACTACGTAGTGAAAACAAAAGAATGAGAATCATCACTTGCTTTCATCCCAGGCTCAATGCCTCCCCCATATAAGCTTCGACGACTGAATCAGTGGTGTAATCATTTTGTCTGTATGTTTTCATTTTGTCCAATAGTCCCTGAATCATTCGAGCACCTTTAGACACATCATGCTGCTTTTCTTGCAAGGAAATATTAATCTTATTTATTTTTTTAAAACAATGATCCAAAACGTCAAGTAACAGATAATTTCAAATGTTTTTATTAACTAAATAACTTCTTTGATTGCACAATCGTATTTCGAGTACTTTCTTCCTATAGACTGACCTCTTCAAGAATGTCTACAACTTTTTTCAGCTGGGAGTTTAAAGCATGGATAGCGCTAGCTTTTGATGACCAGCGTGTATCGCTTATTTCTTTTAAATACATCTTAAGTTTGCTTTTCACCAGTCCCCAGCGGAAAGATGATCCAACAAAAAAGTTATACATTTGTTGAACCGTTTCGAAAAAGGTTTGAATTTTTTGATTTATCTGAGCACCATGAACTTCCGCTAAACTAAGACTATGGGCAGTACAAGAAATAAATCGAACGTTATATTTCAGTAATAGAATCCGAGCCTGAACACCCTTGTACTTACCAGTCATATTCGCGCAATTATCGTATGATTGCCCTCTGATGTTAGTTATATCCAATTTGTCAGCAATCAATTTCTCTATTTCTTTTGCAAGCCCTTCGCCAGTACAGTTCCTGTTAGAGTCAATATTAACGTAACGTATTATTTGAACTAATTGTTCCTGATGAGAGACGTCTGTAGTATAGTCAAATAATATTGAAAAATATTTTGCAGTCTTAATATGCTCAATAATATGCCTCCTTATTTCTGTAGGTACAAAACTATTTCTGTATGATCACATCGACCACATCTTTATTAGGACTCAAAATAACCTTGTAAACCACATTGACATAGAACCTGCCATATTCCACATAGACATGACTGATCACTATACGCCTTTTGTGTATATAAACTTTTCTAAGCAACAACGTCTTAAAGTTGAAACGCAACACAACTATTGCAAAATGAATTATGAAAAATTAATAGAAAAACTAAGCACAGAAAAGTGGAATGAGGTAAATAATAATATTTCAGGAGCACAAGTAGCGTATGACATTTTCATAAACAAATTAAATAACTACATACTAGCTTCCCAGGAAATAAAAACAATAAACAAAAAATATCAAAAGATTAAGCCATGGATTACAAAGGGTCTAATTACCTCTATCAAACATACATATAATCTGAAAAAAAAATCTAACAAAAAACCACTCCACCGAACTTGAAAACCAATATAAGAGTTACAGAAATAAACTTAATATGTTAATCAGGACAACGAAAAACAGTTTTTATCAAAAAAAGCTGCTTCAAGCAGGGACGAACTACAAAAAAATTGGCAGATTATTAATGATATCACTGGACCAACAAAAAAATCTAAACACATAGAAAATATACCAATTTTTAACAATAATGATGAGCTAATAACTAATAATAAGGAAAAGGCTAGTATATTTAATAGTTTCTTTGCTTCCTCCGCATTTTCTCAAAAATGAAAAAATAAACTCTAGTATATTTTTAAAACCAGTTACTGAAAACGAGGTAATACAAATTATATCAAAACTGAAAAATAGCTGTGCCCCGGGTCCAGACAATATAGATTCAAAAATTATTAAAAATATTCATCAATATATCGTCTCCCCATTAGCACACATTATAAACCTAGCATTGCAAAGCGGGAAAATTCCTCATCAATGGAAAGAGTCAGTTGTCATCCCCATTTTCAAATCGGAGGACTCTAGTAAGCCAGTAAATTATAAGCCAATATCTCTCATTAACAATTTTGCGAAGATTTTTGAAAGTGCTCTTAAAGAAAGATTAATTAATTTCTTTGAATCGCATAATATCATAACTCATTCTCAATATGGTTTTATAAAAAAATCTAACACCGAAAACGCGATATTGGACTTCTTAGAGGAAACTGTGTCCACTTTGGACAACTCCATGGGATGCATAGCAGTTTTCCTGGATTTGGACACCGTCTCTCACGAAATCCTTCTAAGCAAACTAAGTAACTACGGTGTTAGGGGATTGGCTCTTGAACTTATTTCGGATTATCTGTCAAATAGAAGTCAGCAAGTCAAAATTGGTAAAGAAATGAGTTCTGGTACTATCTTAAAAATTGGTGTACCACAGGGAACAGTATTAGGTCCAATACTGTTTCTGGTCTACATCAATAGCATAACCAAAATAAATGGTTTCTCTGGTCATCTAGTATGCTATGCTGATGACACAGCATTAGTTTTTAAAGGCGAAAAATGAGATGAAATTCAACATAACGCAGAAGCTGACTTAAAAAAGATAAACATGTGGCTAAACACCAACCTTCTAATTCTAAATAATATAAAAACAAAACTTATTGCTTTTAGTCCAACTATAGTAAACCAACCACCTAATTTTACATTAAAATTACATTCACAAGTTTGTGAACCAAACTGTAAGTGCCCCCCTTTAGATAAAGTAGAAGCAATAAAATACTTAGGAGTTATAGTAGACCAATACTTGCGCTGGTCTGATCACATCATACACCTAAGTAAAAGAATAAGAGCTCTAATGCATAAATTTTACGTGCTTCGGCAGATTCTATCACGAAAAAGTTTAATCATGCTATACAACTCATTTTTGGAATCCATTCTAAGATACTGTATTATCGCATGGGGCGGTGCTTTTAATTCTACACTTAATATATTACAAACAGCTCAAAATACTATCCTAAAAATTATCTTTAATAAGCCTAAACTTTTTCGAACTAAAAAACTTTATGATGAAACACAAATTTTTAACATCAAATCGCTATTTATATATCAATGTATTATAAAAATTTACAACAGTACCAAAAAGTTTCAATATAAAAACTCTCGAGTTACTCGCTCTACTGCCAATATGGACCTAGCCGTTAACCTTTTTAAAAAATCAGTTACCCAAAAATCATTTTTTTATTTTGGCCCAAAATATTATAACCTCCTACCTATAAATATAAAACAAATCGCTAAAGAACATATATTTAAAACCGAAGTAAAGAAATATATTCTATCTCACAATAGTAAATTTTTATGCTGATTCATTGTCCTATTCAAATTATAAAAAAAAAAAAAATAAATATATATATACAGGGTGGCTCACGCTCAACGGGACGGAGCTTTATGGGAAAACGACCAAAGATATAAAAAATTCGTTTGGGAGGAATACGTAGGTTACAGACGGCTACAATTTAAAATTTGTTAGATGTATATAGGATGTCCCACATAAATGAAAAAAAATTAGTTCATTAAAAATTATTCAAACAAGAGTAAACAATTAATTTCTGGAAGACTTTTTTTCCTTAAAAATTCAAATAAATCGAAAACTAATAATAATAGTAATAGGGAACCTTTAGTTAACTGACATTATTTTTGATGTAGTTTTTAATTCTAAAATAAAAAACAGGGTGTTCCAATAAAAATAATATAACTTTGTATATTTTTTCTTATGTGGGACATCCTGTATACATCTAACAAATTTTAAATTGTAGCCGTTTGTAACCTACGTATTCCTCCCAAACGAATTTGTTATATCTTTTGTCGTTTTCCCATAAAGCTCCGTCCCGTTGAGCGTGAGCCACCCTGTATATATATACCGATAATGTCAAACATGCCCTGCGATTCCTCAAGCATTAACCAATTCAACATCAATAAGTCTGGCACTGTATCTGCCAAATCCCAATACGTCATCTTTATTATTATTCCAATTTTTGTTTATTTTTTTTTATGCTTACCATTTATATTATATATTATAATACAATTTAAAAAAGGGGACCTAGAATGAGCACAATAGCAATACGGGCTACACAGCCTAGGCAAGATGCTTATTCTAGGGCTCCTTGTCAAATGTTAAATGTTTTCAAACTTTACTGTAATTATTGTATTTATATTTTGTCAATAATAAATTCTAAATTCTAAAATGATAGGGGAAAAATAGATCAACTGACCTTTACTGTGAGCCTCAATGTGATCTTTGATGATACTGTTATAGTGGCTAATCAGTTCAATTGTGTTTAGAAATTTGCCACAATTTGAATGACCGATAATTTTAGAAGTGCCTCTCAGGGCATCATTATTTTTTATGCAATGTAGAATGGCATCAATATTACCTTTAAAATGTGTCAGAAAGGCAAAAAGGGATACATATTTTCGATTTAGATTTGGAAAAGTTAACATTTATTTTTAAACTTTTATATGTGCCTCAAGGTACAAGACTACTTGGTTCAAGGTACACAACAGGTTTGTACCTTGGACCAAATTCGTAATAAATAAAATCAAAAAATATGTTTTTTTTTTATTGAAGTAATGCTTTTATATAACGTTCAACTGTATAAAAGCTAAAGTAAGCCCAAAAATTTTACCTGAAAATATCAAAATATGAAAAAATCAACTTCCGAAAACATCATACTGCACTGGAATTGATAATTTCTAATGATCTAATCAATTCTTAATCAGCCTCTTACTCAAACAAACAAATGTACCAAATTTCATCAAAATCTGCTAAAGAGTATTTATAATATTGATGAAAATCCGATTATTTTTGAAAATTTGAACATCCTGTATCTTCGAAACAAAGCAAATTAGGACACATGTTTATATGAACTTTAAGTCATAATATGAGCCAAGGAATTACCTCCCTCAACTATGATATGATGTTTAGGAACACCTTGAATAACTCCCATCTTCAAAAGTTGTCTCTATCGTCCAATTAGTATCCTAAGTACTGTACCCAAACCTTTTGAGGGTTGTATTTGTAACATTCTTACCGCTTCATTTAAAAATGTTTTAATTGACCAACAATATGGTTTCCAATCTTCCATATCCGCTGAGCTTAATCTACTCACCACGATTATCTATCTATCTAATGCCTTGAAAACAGGGGTTCAGGTAGCCGCTATCTATACGGATTTTTCTGACATTCAATTGCGCTAATCATGATGCTTTGTTGTACAAACTTAAGACTCTAGACATAAATGGATTTTTCCTTAGTTGATAAGGACTTATCTACCTGCAGAACGAAAATTGTTACAATAGCTAAGTTCAAATCTATAGAGATAACGGTAATATTAGGTGTTCCTTAAATATCAACCTGTTTGTTAACGACATAGCGGAGCGCTTTTTCTATTCAAAGTTTTTGCTTTTTGCAGATGATATAAAATTATATAAAACTATTCAAAATGCTAGTCTAAATCTACAAGAACACTTAAAACGTGTTGTTATATGATGTAATAAAAATCTGATGGAACTCAATATTAAAAAGTGTTTTACCATATCTTTTCATGGTCGAGAAACCCTTTCATTAATGTTTATGTTTTTAATAATATTCATGTGTTAAAAGTTGAGACATTAAAGGATCTAGGTGTGACCTTTGATAAATCACTTAGCTTCATTTCCCATATCAACTTAGCGATAAGCAAATCTCTTAAAATACTCGGTGACGTAAAACGAAATACACAAGAATAAAACTTTTATATGTATCATTAGTAAGACCACACCTTGAATATGCTTCTTGTCTATGGTCACTTTTTTATTATATATGTTACCGAACAAACCCGATTTTAGGATAAACTAGTTTTTCCTAGGCCAAATCAGTTTATCCGAAGAGCCATAGGATGAACTAGTTTATCCTAGTCTAAACTGGTTTGTCCTGAAATAAATTAATTATGATTAGGAAAAACTGATTTGTCCTAGTGTAAACTACTTCGGACTGCGATTCAACTAGTCTAAACTTGTTAGATGATAGCTGCTGCTCGGCTTGCCGACTTAGTTTGCACGAGTACATTGACCGTTATGGAGCGTTCGTCTTATTGCAAAATCTATGCGTATTGTGCGTGTGAGTGTTGTCCATAAGCGCTAGACATTTTGAAACATTTTGTGTTGTTTATGGATATAAAGTTTGGAGTGTATTTCTGTATCTCGTTATCATGGATGAGGCTTCATCAAGTGGGCACGTAGGTCAAAAAGAGTGGAGACTGAGATTCTTGGCAGAGGTTTTGAGATCTGAGGACGAAAAATCGACTCATTTTAATGTTTTGACAAAGGAAAAGTATTTGGCACTTATGCAACAAGTGAAAGAGGCTAAAAAACACGGAAAATAAATCACCCTTGCAACAAAGAAGACTGAAAAGATTTGATGTAGTGGAAATCGGAGGTGTAAAGAAACTTACCGCACGAAATGAAGAAAATACAAATAATATAAAGTATTATCTCACCGCTGATGAGTTATATGACGTTATTGACGCAGCTCACATAGCAGTGGGACATGGTGGTCATGACAGAATGTTGGCTGAAACTTCTAAAAAGTTTGCGAATATCACAAAAGAAATGATATGTCTTTTTTTATCCATGTGCGTGGTGCGTCAACAAAAAAAGACGAAAAAAAGAAAGGATTAGTCTCCAAACCGATTCTGCACTCCGAAATGAATAGCCGATGCCAAGTCGACTTCCAGATACAGCCAGATGAAAAGTTTAAATTTATACTGATGTATCAGGACCAACTAACAAAATTTGTTCTGCTTCGTTCATTGTAAAGTAAGAGAGCCGAAGAGGTAACCTGCCATTTAAATGATATATTTTTAACTTTCGGGGCCTCATGCATTTTACAATCTGACAATGGCCGAGAATTTGTGAATCTTGTAATTTTAGAAGTTACAAGCTTATGGCCAGAGCTCAAAATCGTGCATGGAAAACCACGACATAGTCAAAGTCAGGGATCAGTCGAAAGAGCGAATCAAGATATTGAAAACATGCTGAGTGCTTGGATGAATGACAACCAGATAACTAAATGGTCAGAAGGACTGAGATACATACAGTTTATGAAAAATCGGGCATTTCATTCTGGAATTAAACAATCGCCTCATAAGGCAATGTTTGGTGCGGAACCTAGGGTTGGCCTCTCTACTACTTCATTGCCTTCGGAACTGCTAAAGGCCATTGAAGACGAGGATGATCTTCGAAAACTGTTTGATGGGAAAAACATAGATGGACATGAAAATGCTAAGGGTGAAGACGAAGATAGGATTAGAGACAAAGATAGTAGTGGAGACGAAGATAGGAATAAAGACGAAGATAGGAGTGGAGACGAAGATAGGAATAAAGACAAAGATAGGAGTGGATACGATGACATGGATGAAACCTCGCAAAATGTTTTAGAAGCACGTTCAAAGGCTGCGCAAAGCCTTGAAAAACAAGCCAAAAAGATGAAAGCAACTTCTCACAAGTTGTATCAACCAGCGAAGGTTGGAGATAATATCATCATACCCACTCCTGATGTAGACAGGGCTAAAGAAGATCTTCGGAACGTTATTGGAGTTGTGCTTGAAGCATCTGATGATGGATTTTATAAGATTGGGACCAAGCATGGTATCTTACAAAAATTATATTGCAGGTAATCATTTACTTTGTTGCGGTTTTTATTTTACTTTAATTTAATTTTGTTTTTTTTTTTTCAGAAATGAATTTGATAGCTGCGCACAAAAATTTTTATTGGTAGAAGAAGAAAACAAAAACATTGAACTTTCGTTAAGAACCGCAGCGATCAAACATTCAGTTGGAACAGGCCAAGGTTTCTTTAAGTGTAGTTGAACCAAGAAGTGTACGTCGAACCGATGCCTTTGCAAGAAAAATAACGTTCTTTGCAACTCGAAATGCCATAATAGTTTGACATGTAATAACAAGTAAATATTACCCAAAAATTAATAAACATGTTTGTAATGATAGTATTTTTTTTAAATAGTAGTAAAAACGTTACTTCTGTGAAAAGACTGTATGTAGACTAGTTTTGCCTGATCACAATTAGTTGATTTTAGGACAATTCAGTTTAGATTAGGATAAATTAGTTCCTCCTATGACTCTTCGGATAAACTGATTTGGCCTAGGAAAAACTAGTTTATCATAAAATCGGGTTTGTCCGGTAACATATACATATTAACAAATTGGAGCAAGTTCAGCACAAATATCTGCGATATGTTTCATGCAAGTTAAACTACAACCTCACCGAATGTAATGAAATCGAATTCATGTCGAGTCTAAAACGTCTAAAAGTCCAAGAGATACACAGATCTCCTGCTCCTTTATAATATTCTAAATTTTACAAAAAAATGCTCTGATCTTCTACACAAGTTGCAATTCAATATTCCCTTTAAGTCAACCAGCACAACAAACTTGTTCTACTTACCAAATTGTAATACCAACTACACAGAAAACTCATATTTGATCATATCAATGAAATTGGTCGATTCGATGTCAATAGATTTGTTTGTTAAAAAATCTCTTTTTGTGTTGTTAATTTATAGAGAGATATAACTTATTAATTTATGTGTACACTTATTAGTTTTAAGTTTGTATACTTTATCCAAAGTGTACAGATATTGGGCACTGCCCGTAAATAATAATAAATTTAATCAATTTTATTAAACAATAATTAATAATAAAATGTTTGCCCCTAGTTAATATTTTACCCACCTATGTTATGTTTTAATGATTAAACAATAATAGTTAAATTATTGAAATTATTGTACCTACTCGTATATGAAAAGGTGAATTTATTGGGTAGCTCAATCTTAAATAACTCGGTGTCGACCTATTTAGCTCATTGTTATAATGAAACAGATACTTTTTGCTATCTCTTTAAAGTCTTTGACCTACTATATTATTAAATTATCCTCAACAATTCTATCTCGAAGTTTCAATTAAGCCCTAGTTGGCAACAAAAAAGAGCATCCATCTCCATTCATCGTCGACCAAAGGACAAAAGATGACATTTTTGAGGAAATCCTTCAGTAACATTATCCTTAATTTTGTTTTGTATACAAAGATTTTGTCCTAAACAGCGGGGCATTTTGTCGAAACATACTGACAATGGTATAAAAGTATTGGATTACGCTCTCTACACGGGTCTATTCAAGATTTGGATGCTTCATTATCCAATTTTCTAGTCATGAAACAGTTATGAAAACATGCCTCGGGTCGACAAGGACGGTTAGTTTAGAAAGTAGAAGTATTTAGGGCGATTTGAGGCAAGGGTTATGCGGTTAAAGATATTTTATCGGTTCTTGATCATATCTTGATCATATCTTGATCATATCAGCAGGTACAGCAAGTTTATGCACATTAAAATATAAGATTAAATATCGAATTATTGATATATGCAGGACAAATTAGAAAATTCTTCCGATAAAAATGTGAATCTGAATATTGAAGAATGTTAATTTGCTCTCAAACTAAATTCTGAAAGTAATAAATATAATAAACCTCTATTCGCACATAAAAATAGAGATACATAGAAAAATTTAAAATACTTAAATAATATTTCGTACAAACTGTTTAGCGATAAGTACAACCAACTAGCCTAAATACCATTTGTAACTACCGATAGGTCTTTCACTATTGTTGTTAATATACTATTAAGGGATTTAGGCAGCACTATCACCAGCCAAAGGGTCCTGGAGTTCAGAAGGAACATCTATTCACCAGTGGCAAATAAAAATAACAATAATAATAAAAAATAAATTAAAAAAACGAAAATTATACCTTAATAGCATATTCGAGCGGTTTTTGGCAACTAGTTTTTTACTCTTCTAGTCTTAGGGGTGGGAACGCCGAGGCTTCTCAAATTTTGGAAATATTTCATAATTGGTTTGGGAAAGGGGAGGGGAGATTAATAATAATTATTAAAACAGTAACAAATGTATATTTACAATTATACAATGACTAATAGTCTTAAAAATAAATGAATTAAGTTACATTTAGGAATAAAGCACTATTTGATAATATATCCAAACTTTTAATAAAGATTTATGACAACTAGATAAACATGTTATTGAATTATATAGTAATGGAATATTTGGCATTTATATGTAAATCATCTCAAACAAAACACTTTAAAAATAAGTTAAAGATATTTACCCATAGTTCTCAAATCGCTGCACAAAACTTTACTTTACACATTACTTTGTTTCGGGACTTAGGGTCTCGGAACGAGATGAGACTCGTCTTTCGGCAAGAGTTCTGGACTTCAGTCCTTACTTGAGTTTTTTCTGTTTAGCCTCTCTCTTTAAATCCAAAATATACGTGACAGTTGTACTTGTTAGAATGCCAACGTTGTATCTTGAATTCTCTAGTTCAATGCAAGCCATTAAATAGAATAATAACCTTATGTTGATATTATTGCAATACGTGTGTTTTTAGAAAGCTTACGATTTGTAATTCTGGTTCCGTCGCTAATTTAAACTTTTTTGAGGTATTCTAAATTTGCACAATATCATCAAAATACTGTTTTATACGACACTGGTATGACTTAATAGAGAAAAAACTAAAAATATCAAAAATCATGTACTTATGCAAAATAACACACTTTCTCAAAATGATAATTTAAAATTTATTAAAAGTATCAGATTAGTATGAAGTTAGGACCAGTCATGTTAGACGTTTTGACATTTACCTACAATAACTAGGTATTTCTTTTCATAAAAAATCTCTAAATACAGGATAACATGTATTTATTGTAAAGAAATACGAAAAAAATTTCTTATGATTTAAAATTTTTTTTAATGTCTTTTGCATTTGTATATTTGTAAATTTTGTGTTAAATTCATTAGCCATGTCAACATTTTTTATGAGGAGTTCTCCATTATCGTTCTTTATAGGACCAATAATTTTTGAATTACCGTTTGTTCTGAGTTTTCCAGGAAAAAAGCGCGTAAAGTTTGTTCAAAAAAATAATTATTTTTTGGTAATAAAATGTATATTCGTGTGCTTCAGTTGTATTTAGTTAAAAGCTGTGATCACATTTGCATGATGGCGCTCAAGCGGGTTGCAATATTTTTGTAATAAATAATTTTCACCTTTCAATCTATCTGTATATCTATCTGAATTAGGGTGCGATTCAAAACCCACCTGTACTGAAGCTCTAGGCTTATTGTACTTCTCACAGTTTCTACCCCTTCAGAATAATTTTCTTAATGAGTTCAAGAATATGTCTGATGGACGTTTTCGCGATTTCGTTACGTTCCGGATAATATACCCCGAAGTGCCATTCCCGTTTCCATTTAAGGTTCCGACAGGGAATAGGAGTTTCGTCCTACTCTTCAAATATTTTACATAGGAAGTCAATAGATTTAGGTGTCTTCTAAGGCCGCAGTAACCCGTAAAGAGTCTTATTACGGCCTAGAGTTCGCTTCTGCTTAGGTTTAGCAGTTGATTTTGTCTGCTTTTGGATGGAATGTAACGGTTTTAATCGAGCGTTAAGACTCTAGTATAGGTTTTTTTCGTCCATAAAGTATTTCTTTACCTATATTTGCTTAAAATAAAACTTATTCGACTAGCCAAAGTTTTCATGCATTCAGATTTCATTCTGTAGTCACTGTACACATTCACACAACACCCATTTATATTATCCAGTTTTCTGAGTTTGAAACTGTAGGGATTTTATACTTAGTATAATATTTTTACAAGAATTACAATATCTTCACCACAAATAGGCAAAGGTAAACTCGTAAACCTTCTTTGTGCAAATTGTAATATTTATTCTAAAATTTACCTTCAATATCCATCTTTGTTGTGGTAATTTTCACAAGCACTCGACAATAATAAACTTTACAAACAGCACATTTCGTTAACTGAGATCATGATTTAATTGTCGTGTATATTCTAAATACCTTTTCACAAACATTAAACGATAATTTATACTAATAATAAATGGGGTTATATTTATATTTATGTGACTGCTAGACAGCTGTCAGATCATAGATAAGTACTACAGAGAGAATGGTAAAGCCGTGCATAGTTCGGTGAGTATATTTTTAAGTTTGGTTGTCTAGGATTTCTATTGGATAATACAGGGATACCAGCATGATACAGTTAGGTTTATTTTCGAAATCGTAAAAGCCACATACTTTGATTTTCTTTTACTATACGGAGAATGGTCGCACTGCGCAGCTTTCTGAGTGCCTTTTAAAAGAAGATAGAAAACTCCGCCATTTTGAACCCCTATTACGTTTTGCCTACATCTTGGCGCAATATGTTTAATAGGCGCGTTTTAATCATCCGCTTCTGCTTCGGAATTGTTGAGACTGCTGTTTTATTATAGGCGGTTGTCATATATTGTATTATCCGAGTTGCACAGTGACTAAACTGAAACATTGAGATCCAAAGTGCCGACGCAGAGTGAGCGATCTGATTCTTTAGCTGTAAACTGTGTCACAGGGTTCAAAATGGCCGCGCCCTATGTTGGGCGTGTCGGACCTCTCTCTTGCCTCGTATACACATACTTTGATTTTCTTTTTTCGTATAGTAATCAAAGTATGTGGTAAAAGCTCATTGTGACACAGGAATGCCAATCGTGAATCGTATTTGTTCGAGAGTGACAACTGGCTAAAGTAGGTTTTATGTACGGCGATTCTGCGCGATAAAAGCGACACGTGCCCTTTTTCTGAGAAGAAGTACTGAACTGAAAATTCGTGAAGAGATACTTTTCTAGTTTTTGTGATTTTATGGAATCATCCCAGGTCGGGGAGTGTTATAAAAGTATCTTAAGAAGCACTGATGGTAAAATTGAATCGTGCTAACTTGGATTTGAGCCAGTT